CTCTCGGAGAGGAAGGAAGCGGCGGGAAATGAGCCCCGCTCCCAAGGAACACGACGGCCTGGCCTCCGCATGGCCGCACTGTCACCGCCCGAAAATTTTGGGGAAGAGTAAATAAATGAATGATGGGATACGGGGCTTCGTGCCGGCATGCTCACGTGCACAACTCCGCAAATATCAATAACCGGCGGCCAAGGTGGCGATGTTTTGCTCCCTTCCTGTTTAGAGCGCATTGTTTTTTTCGGCCAATCTTTTTTTAACCACCGTTACAAGTTGTTCGAGCTTCGGAACGACAGGGAGCTGGACACAATGCTTTGCAAACGTTCTACTGACGTCAAGGGGTGATGGAGGAGGAGCATGACCAGGAGAGCTAAGTATGCGGTTATTGCTATTCCGCACAGGAGAGGAAAACTCGGCTTAAGGAAAGCGCACGCGCGAGCACATACACACACGCGTGCGTGCGCACGTTTATAATTTGCATGTGGCCGTTTGACAGAGAGGGCCCACGCAGGGGGACCCGTTCGCACCAGATTCTCTTCTCCATTCAACTGCCGGAGTTTGGAACAACTACCCACAAATGTTTACCGTCGTGCGCACACGTGTGCTGGAAAAAAAAACACCCAGCCGGCACTGAGTGTCTCTGTCCAAGGGCTATGAAAGTCACCTGTTGATGCAGTGCACCTCTCTGGCCGCTCACGAATATTTGCGATTACATCGTTTTTTGCCCCTGTTTGATTTTTTTTTGCCGGTGAATGATTTGCGAGGTCGAAAAATAAATACTTTACGGTGAGAGTATTTTTTCTAGGGCGCAACTCTATACGTGAAGCGAAACACCAACCGTGCTCACCGCACCTCCGATTATCACGCTTGGCTACGTACGGTGGGAAAGCAGTTCACCCTACGTACCAACAAAACCACAACGATCGGCGCAGGTGCCGCCGCGACCGAGAGTTTTGACGCGCGCACGCAGGACAGCGCCCCGGCGATGAACTTCCCCGACTGCGAACGGAACCCTGTTTCTGGCCGTGGGACGCAAAATCGCTCTTCCGCGAGCCAAGAGCTACGGCACCTCTAAAATACGACGGCACTTTGAAAACTACGTCCACTCTGTGCGGAAATTTGGCAGTTGTGTATCGGACACACGACACTGGGGTGGTGGTGGTCGTGGTGGTGGCGGTGTGCACCTTCGTGAAGGTTTATTTTTCGTTCTCCCAATTATACTTTCAGGCTGTGCCATCAACGTCCTGTCATGAGTTGAAGACATTTTCATTCGGTTCCCCAAATCTCGCAGTGAGCAGCGCGACGGCACCTCTAAGTCGGGAAGATTTAGGGTCTGTACCTTGGTGGAAAAAAAAAACTTGTTTTACCATTACAATTCCACTGTCCGCCAGTCTTCTTTTTATATACATATTACCAAAATCCCACAGGGCCACGGAACGTGTGCAGAGAAGGGTCTCCGCCCCCGCCACCTGACATAATCCACCCAGCTACACAGAACCCCCACATTGACTTTTGATTAGCACGGTGCGAAAGAAGTTCAACATTCATACATACAGAACACAAGAACAAATATAAATATCCACACCATGTATGTATGTATGTTGAACTTCTTTCGCACCGTACGTAGCCAACGGTGCTAATCGGAGGTGCGGAGGAAGGGAAACAAGCTAAACACAATAAAGCAGTTCGAAAGAAATTCGTTTTCAATTTCGATGCAAAAGTGCCCCGCTCCGGTGGCTTCCTAATATCGGAAGGAGGAGCGTTCAAGACGACCACAGAAGCGCATCTGAAAGCGCGCTATGCAGCGAGCGTCTTTGTTCAATGGCCAGCCAAGAGCCGCTGCGAGGATGACCGGAGTTCGCGTGATGGAACATAAGGACAGCTCGGAGTGGAGTAACGGGAGAGGAGACATCCCCCCAAACCGCCCCCCCCCGCCCCCACGGGCATGAAGAAACCTCCTTGTGAAGCACTCCCTGTGAGGAGACGTGGGACACGTTCACCAAAAGCAGGAGGGAATACCTGGCGTGGACAAAAAGCCGAAACGAAAATCCACCTCCCCCCGCTCCCCCCCCCCCAGATTCTCGGAAGCAAGGCCTCCTGCCTGAATCGAGGAGACACCCAACGCGGACATAGATGGGGCAGGGGGAGTGGGGGTGATCCCCGGTGGATGGTGGCATTGAATGGAAAAATGTGTTGTTTGTTTTTGTACCAAGGTACAAAACCTCTTTTTTTCTCTCTCCATTCCAACGCTGCCGTGCACCCACAGCTCTTCTTAAAATTTGGCAACACCTGCCCAAAGCAGGCATGCGCCAGAGGAGGGGGGGGGGGGCAGGGCCTTCCCTACACACGTACCGCCAACACCGCGCCCCCGGCGCCAGAGTCGGCGTCCTGCGAGGTGAGCGTATCCAATCGATAATGGCCGAGTAAATGCTTTGGGCAGGGGGGGGGGTACTTCCACGTCCGCCGCCTTGTAGATTTTCCTCCAATGGAAAACATTGGAGGCTCTAGTCCATGAGGTTGCGACCGGCCCTGGTGGAATGTGTCCTCAGGTTTGTAAGGGAGGGGGGGGGGGGCGTCGGGGGGGCGCTGCTTCCCTGCACCCCTGCAGCAACGCTCGATGCACTCCCTCCGCCAACATGGACGGCCTCGCCTTACGAGGCTTTGCTCGCCCCTCGACGCTTTTGCCGATCGAGACGAAGAAGCTGCCACGCGGCGTTCACCGCGGGTAAAACTTCAGGGCTCGAACAATAATCCCAAGTATCCAGTGGCCTGCTCAGCTTCTCGGAAGCAAATGGTGGCGGCCACAGCATCAAAGTCTCCCACGGCGTTGAGGATAAACTCCGCCACGTGGGCCACGCACGAGGCAATGTTCATCGTTGTGGCGGCTGCCTGATGGCCCCACCCCCTCACCTGAACTCGCTATCGAGTGACCCATCAATAAGGGTTAGGAGGTGACTGAGGAGCTCTGCGAACCTGGCAAGACCCCGGACACCGAGGCGGCGTCCGCATAAGGGACGGTGGTGGAAAAAGCCCTGGCGTCGGTTTCATGCATGGCGTAAGCAAGCGTCCAGGTTGGACAATGGGACGTGCGGCTTTGGCCAGTTTTGCCCAATGCTGCCTAAATCTGCTGCCGCTGCAGGGAACCCAACGGCGGCAGGGAGGAGCGATGGAGTGGCCCGTCTCTCTCGGAGAGATCCTCCTCCGCGAGCTCCCTGTGGAGGACTTCGCTTTTGCAATGCTTGCTGCGCGAGCTGCGTGCACGCTCGTCCCTGCTCGAATCACACCCAGGAGCTCCCAACGACAGGAGATGCACACCGCCTTCCTCGTTCCGCAAGTCTCGACGACGCAGACGCCGGGGCTCCTCCACATCACCGACATCGGCGCAAGGACGTAGCGTGCTCTGTTGGTTGGCATCGTCCTCCGCACGCTCAACCTCGCGGGTACGAAACCTGCACTGTGGGGTCGCAGCCTCTACGACACCAGCAACTTGCGCAGCTGCGGCGTTGGGCGAGGATGTAGCGGCATGCGGACGGCGAGGGGCAACACAACCGCCCCTCCATCTCTTCCGACGAAGGCGGCGTCTCATCAGTCCTCTTGCAGTGCGCCGATGAGGGCCCAGAGTCCTGGCAGAGCGGGCCTCCTCTGAGCCGGACGTGCCCCGGTAGCGGGCAGCCGGCACAGGAGGAGCTGTCAGCTTGCGAAGCAGCTCCACCCTGCGGCGCGAGGGTTGCCCCCGACCGGGACATCGCACGCGTGCGCACGTAATGTACGACACGTCCGTGCGGCGGTCGCCCACGTACCGCCCCCTGCCCCCTCCCCTGTCCCCCCCCGCGCTCACTTCACGTTTCCGCGAGTGACTCTATTCCCGCGGGGCCGGTGCCGGGCATTACAGTGCCCGCACCGCGCGCGTCTGCATGGACGCCGCGTCCGCATGACTCTTCCGGGGCTCGCCTCCGAGTGCCTTCGTGTGCGCGACGAGGCGTGTACGTGCCCGCCGAGCACCCGGTGAGCTCAGGCGACGTCTCACCAGGCGAGCGGCGAGCAGCCCAGCAGAGCACGCGTTGCCCTTGGAGAGGTCAAGAAGAGTCCCCCCCCCCCCGCCCTCCGCCAAGCACTGCGACCCCCGCGCTGCGCTGTGCCGCCCGCCCGCACTCACAGCGGGAGCCAGCAACCCGGCCCGCCGTAGGACCAGGCGACTCCGCCAGCAAGGGCGGGAACGCCGACCGGGCATCGCAGCTGCGCCAGCTCACGAGCCCGTGCCGACCCCCTTGTTATTTCTGAGCGCGGGAAGACGCTACGGTCGGAACGGGTGAGTCCTTGTGGTGCCCTGACCACAAAGAAGGTTAAACACCGAACGCGGCGGTCCAGGTGAGAGCGAAAGGGAAAAACTGAAGCCCATGCTGCCTCCTACTTTTCAACTTTCGCAGCTAATGGTGGCACTCGCCAACGCTGCTCCCGCGGCGCCGAGACGAAATTGACGGGTGTCTGGGTAGAGGGTGGGTTAGGTCAGGTGGCGGAGGCAAAGAGCCTACTCTGCACGCGTTCTGTGGCTCTGCGGGATTTTGCTGAGATCAATATAATACGAAGACTGGTGGACGGTGGAATTGTAATGGAAAAAACGCCCTCCCCCCCCCCCCCCCCGGAAGATAACGTCACAGATCTACTTCTGAAGTACACCTTTTTTTACACGCCGTGAAATGAAGTTTGTCGCATACCGATAAAACGAATGTATAGTTCTTCGAACCAATTTTCAGCAAAGCAACTAATTTCGCGTGATGTTTTGTTGTTGTTGTTGTTGTGTCCCAGTGATCGGTGACCAGGCTGACGCCGCTGTTGTCGCTCCACACTTCAGAACCCCGCCGAACGAACGGCGAATGGCGGCCACGGGCCCGGGATACGAACCCCCCCCACCCCCCCCCCCCCCCCCCAGCATCTATGGCGGTTTGATCCGACGAGGCGTTCGAAGCGAGAAGTGAAATCGCAAAAGACTTCGCAGAACTCACCGAAAACACATCGTCGTCCCCTCCAATTTCAGCCTCGTTCTGGTTGGTTGACGACGATGTGGTGGAGCCTTCGGGGGTGGGGGGGGGGTAGAGTTGGGGGGTCGGGGGGGGGTACAAAAAAGGGATGACAAGAGACAGACCGTGAGGAGGGATGTTAAAGAGAGAATACCGTGGGGTAAAGGCGCAGCCCTGCAATTGCTCGCTAACGCCACTGCTGGGGGCCTTCGCTAGAAGCAGAGCTCCTCCACAGGATACTTTGGCCTACTCTTCCATGCTGGGCAGACGTCTTGAAAGCGGTGGGAGTACCCACACTTGACTCCGCTGCACTCAACCGGCCAAATGGCTTAACTGCACCCTCTTTGGTTCTTTCGCTAAAGTCACGTAGGTATAAAATAAAATAAATTAAATCACGACGTTTCGAAACGTCGTCATTTAATTTATTTTCTACCTATTACGTGACTTTACCGAAAGAACCAAAGAAAACTTCAAATCTAGATTAACTGCACCCGTTTATCTTTTGCCTACCTTAGTTTATAATTATGACTCGCCTTTAATCAGGGCGCTTAACATACTTGTTATGGGGGTAGGGGGGGGGGAGTCTCAGATTTCCGGGGTCCCTACTGTAGGGGTCCTTGGTATAGGGGAACCGGTGTTAATGGTTTAAGGGTACAAAGTTGAAATGTTATGGTTACTGGTCCTAGCAGAGCCCAGCCTAAAAGTCGCACACCTTAAGTCGGCATAGGGGTCCCCGGATCTCAACCGGATAACAGGGCGAGGGGGCGAGCAGGGGGGGGTGGGGGGAGTGACGAGGTCCCCGATGTGTGGGTCCCCCTTATCGGGGTCCACACGTTCGATCGATGCTTGCTGCTGGGTGGACCGGGGCCAGAGCCGTTCCCCCTAGGGGTCGACGGCGAATCGGGGCGACCACCCCCAGGCCCCGCGCTTCGACGTCACGGTGTCAGACGTAACACTGCTGGTTTAGTTTGAAGAGGTCGGGGAACCACGTGGTGTGGTCCCCCCCCCCCCCCCCCCCCACAATGGACGGCCGTTACCAGGGCAATGGGGGGAGATTTAAGAAACCTGCCCATCGTTTCAACCGTAGCCCCAGAAGGTAGAAACCAGCAGTATAAAGAGGAACACCACAGCGAGCCGACAAGACAGGCGGCTTGCGGTGGGGTGACGCGTGGGTGGCTCCCGCCTATTCCAAGCGCGCACCTTGAAAGAGTAGGCCAAAAAACCGTTGCATCGCGGCGGCATCTCTCGCAACGTAACACGCGGATTTTTGCCCGACGCAAATGACCACGTCGCCGGGGTAATTCAATTTGAGCGCGAAAAAATTTGCACGCCATTATCTTTTGCCGTAGATGTCGGGGCGTCGGCCCACACCTTCGGCGAGGTCCTCGATGGCCTTGCGCACGCAGCGGTTGAACGCGCGCGCGTCGGCCGGCGTCTGGAAGGAGAGCCCAAATTTTTTGTCGTCGATCATCCAGTGGTGGAAGGTCGGAGAAGCCACCGTGTACACCAGGTTCTTCTTCAGAAAGCACTTGAGCAAAACCTGGCCGCGCCACGACACACACACACGCGCACGCACGCGGGTTAGACGGGCAGCGTGCGACAATGGTAACACTTGTTTCCTCACAGCAAGAAGTTCCTGGGTTCGGTTCCTGACTCAGGCGCTATTCTGTGCAGAATTAACGTCCTCTCTCCCCATCCTGGATGCGTTTCCTCCGGGTTCTCTGGTTTCCTCCCATAGCGAAATATAATTAAAATGTATGAATCAATAAAAACGTTAAGAAAAACATTTATTTTTCTTAAAACATAAAATGTATTCGCCTGTAAAATGACTCAATTGGGATTTGACGCAGCAACGTCGCCCCCTTCTGTGGCAGGACCCGCCTTTAAAAAGAGGCTTGAGACTCTGGCGAGGCTTTCCTGAGTGAACGGACGTGAAAAGTAAAAAAAACGACAAAAAAATTCCTCGCCAGTCAACTTCCTGTTCACATTAAAATGTACCTGGATCCTCCGGCCATGAAATTGGAAAAATAACCTCAGAGCGATGGATTTAAACAGGGACTTGGCACAGATGCCTGTATTTCAGCAACGGACAAAAGCATCTCTATAACGAGCTAATGCAAGAAAATATTGTCTTTAATATGTAATTTCAGGTAGGGTGTTAAAGAGTCCCAAAGCAGGGTAAACAAAATGGCACGTGTGGCTCGTACACTCAAACTACTGCAGAGAATGTTACCTATTCGAATGGGTAATTGTAAAAGAATCCCATTTTTTTCTTAAGTTTACGAAATAAAAAAAAATACATTTTCCATGTTGATCAACCATTTAACGTATTTCAACTTTCATGGCAAGAATGAAAATATTTTCCCCTCTACAAATGCAAAAGCCTCCTAAAACACACCGCCTAGCACGTGAATTTGCCTTTTTTTCCCAGCTGGAAAAGACTTCACCCCCCCTCCAACTTTACATTCCATTTCTCTTGACACCTTTTGGGTGACTTTTGATACGCAAACAAAAAAAACTATATCCACGGCTCCCCAATCGAACCGTGGGGGCTTTTGGTCGACCCTAAACACCCCCTCTTCTTCATCCTTCAAAGGGATACAACGGGGGAGGCTTTTACGCTTAAAAGTAATGACGGTCTGTGCCCAGAGTTGTTGTTTTGCCAAAAAATTTATCGGAAAAAAATCGAGATAACATGAAAAGCCAAAGTAGCCCCAAAACATTTTATTTCGATATCGGAGGAGAGAAAAAAAACTTTTAAGATCAACAATTTGATCTGCATTAACGTGGAGTTGGCTTCATTCTTATTAAAATAAATCGCAGCACCGGGAAGATCTTTGTAGTCTTCTTAATGTGCCTATGATACTCATTTGTAGTCCTTTAGTATTTTGAAAAATAGGTCAATTCATCTTTGGGAAAAAGAAAAGAACGCACACACATGAAAGCGAAGTCTGTTTCCGTAACACGAGAATTCATTTGGGGATAATGTAATTATTGCATCAGAGAAAGATAAATTACGCAGCTATTAGTGTCATTTTAAAGGGTGGGGGAGAGGGTTAAACCGATGCATGCGAACCGCGGTGAATATACTTTGGAACCACGGTAGCTGTTGCGAGTGGAGTTTACACGACTCTCGAAAGAGCTGTTCAAAATCAGGGGGGGGTCGGTGGCTTTATTTTATTTTTTTCGAGCATCTCTGGGTGTTTCTGCTTGCCACATGTGGCCCAAGGGCCGAGAAATCTGACCCCAATTACTGAGGGGGTGGGGGGGGAATTACACGGAGCTGCTGCACTTGGTCTGGGTGTGCTGCAATTCTTTGGTCACAAGTTATTGTGGGCAGTGGTTACCAATCCAAACAGAGGGCATTTTCAGTGGTGGCGCAGTGATTCGCACGCCGCGCTACGAACCGCACGACCCGAGCTTGATTCCAGGCCACAGCTAACATCAGTTGACGAGTGATATCCCATTCGGTCTGGGGCACCCGACCTCAACAATCCACGCCGGCCAGCGTGTTAAAAGTGCGGCGAAACAACACCTCAGCGACGTCACATGGTGCAGATTGATATTTGAATTAACCACAGAACGGAAATGGTCGGTGGCGAGCGAGTGGGGCTGGAGTGGTCGCCGTCACCTGAGCGCAACGGATGGAGGAGCGTTCAAAAACGCCGCCGCGCGACAAAGGGGCGCCCGGGCTCGCGAATCGCAACGAGTGTCGCGTCGGGGATCGTCGCACAAGGTGGAGTTCCGCGAGTCCGAGCGGCGCGTCAGTCTGGGAGGGGCCGTGCGCCGCGCCGCACCCACCAGGCCATCCCCAATGCGCTCCCCGCGCACTAGGAAGTCGCTGCGGCCGTTCTCGTCGGGCTGCAGGAGGCGGGAGATGCTGACCTGGCTGAGGCCGCCGCCGGCCAGCGACACCCAGCCCTCGTCCGTCCTCGTCATCACCACTGCGCGCACGCGGACAATGTGGTTCTCGCTGCTCCGCCGCCGCCGTCGACGCCACCGCCGCCGCCGCCGCCGCCGCCGTGACATAGGGGGTTCAAAGAGAGGCGCAGCAGGAAGACGACATCGGTTAGCGTGTGGGTCGCGTGCACCGCCGCCGCGGTCGTCCGGAGGACAGGTCCGCCAGCCCAACCGAATGCTTCGTCGCGAACGGCGGAGAATCGGGAAAATCGTTGCGCCCCCTGTGTGGATTTCGCAATTTAAAAAAATATTCCGTGTTTTATTATTATTATTATTATAGTCAACGATGACTATGAGTGGATGAAAATCAAGTGCTACGTCATCGTCATCATCGTGGCGTAACGAGGATGAGAAGAGATCAACTGTGGTCTGAACGAAGGTGCTGACTGAGGTAATTTCGTAACGTTACCAGAGACGACAGATGAAGTGAGGAAAGCCAAACATGGTCACTGACTATATGTGCGCATATAAGTTAATGACCGAGTTCAAAGGTTGGCTGACCTGGTAAAATTGAGGGGGGTGGGGGCTTCGGAGAGGGGGGGGGGGCGAGGGGAATTGCATGCCCCTCACATGAACGTTTAGTGACTAAGAATATTATGGTTTAACACGTAGGCTTTCGCGACCAATATTATTCATAATAAACGTTTTTGGGTTAGATCGCGTTATTTATAAATGTGTCGTAACCCTCCACCACCCGACAGGGCCCAATCAGCAAAAAAAGTGTCACGCTGACAAAAAGAATATTATGACTTAAAGTTTAAGTGCTTTCATCGACTAGATTGGACAAAGAGAACGACTAAAATTGCCCCCCAGGCAGTCGTCAACTAGACTAAGACCGAAATAGACAAATACATGGTGACCAAATAACCACTCCGTAAGAGCGCCTATCGGCTTGCAGATGAATTCGCGGGAGGAGGTGGATGAGGCGGAGCGATGATGTGACGATGAAACTTCGTACAGGGTGCTGCTCCACCCGTTCAGTCCGGTGCTGGGGTCAACTATAATTGCAATTGTGCGACTGGTCATGAATTGTGGTCCGCAATATATTGGTAATATCAGCTAACAATGGCCGCCATAACTGGGGATTACATAATTGACCCCAGGTCTCATTCAGACAACTGGGCCCGTCGGTTTGCAACGGCGCAACAAATCCCAGGAAATATCTCCCGTTGCGAGTATAATGGAATTTCTTTGTTGCGTTTTTTTTTTCTTCTTCTTCTTCTTCTTCCAGTTTCTGTTAGTTTCTGGAGCGCGCGCAAAAAAAATGTTGGATCTCGCAAAAGCAGCAAAGACAACGGGGAAAAAAAACGTTCCGGGCCCAGCAACGAGCGGCCGTGCCCCGCAGAGGCGTCATCAAGACGGGAGTAGAGCGGTGAGGTATGGTGAAAGGGCCTCTACGACAGACAAGGAGCGAAGAGGCCCTCATCCAGCAGTGGAATGACAAACGAACTCGAAATGTAACTTTAATAAATTTGAGAACATTTTTACTTTTTTACATTTGTATTCATTGTTAGTTTATTTTGTGTTAGACCACGTCGGTATAAAATGCCATTTTTTTTTGCTATAACCCTCCACCACCCGGCAACAGAGCCAATAAAATAAAGTGGTGACGTCATGGGCAATATGCCATTTCATTTGGATCTTCATGCGTGTTGAAATTCTTTCGCACCCTACGTAGCCAACCGCGCTAATCGGAGGTGCGGGGGGCGGGGGACAACAAACTAAACGCAAAAAGCAGTTCTAAAGAAATTATCTTTCAGTTTAGATTAAAAAGTGCATTCCTCCAGTGGCTTCATAATTTCGGAAAAGAACGTTCCAGACGGCCGCAGAAGAGCATCCGAAACTGTGCGATGCAGAATGGTGAAAGGCAAACTGAATATTTGACAATTTTTTTTGTTAATACCGTTTCTCTGGAGATTACATGCAGCAGCATCATCATCATCGGGTGTTAACAAGAGCTCAGCTCTAGTGTGAAAAGAGCTTCCTGATCCGGGTCCTTAAGTAGGTGCCATGACATCATCATGGCAGCCGCACACAAAATACAGTGCTGCTGCTGAGCATCATGAGCACGAATGACTCATTGCTGTGAATGTTTAAATCAAATCGTACTCAAAGAAATCAAACTTAAACGGGAATAAAGATTAAAGTCGCGTGGATTTTTTTACTCCGGGTCCTCTGGTTTCCTCCCCCCCCCCCCCCCCACATTCATACACGTGCATTGAGATTATTTAGATTCTTTTGGTGCTATAAATGTACGTGAAAAATAAGTTATTTCCTCAGTGGGCTTTGCCTGGTAGGATGGCGATGGTTTAGTTGTATTCGTTCTAGATTTGAAGTTTTCGTGACTGCAATGATCCATACTCTTTTGGTTCTTTCGGTAAAGTCACGTAGGTACCAATAAAACTAAAGTTAATCGAATCACGACGTTTCGGAGGCAACACAAGCGTCCGTCATCAGGTGGCAACACAGTACGTGTTTGGGTGATTTATCTACCATGCTTGTACTTTGCACTCCTGTCGTGTTGTTGTAATGTTTGTTGTTGTAACGTTCTGACCCCGCGCCCCGGCTGGACATCTTTGGGAAAAAAACATCTCTATAGCTCACCGGATTCCTCCTGCAGTCTAAATTAAAAAAGTGCGGTTCGGTTCGACTCCTGGAGATGCCCGCAAGTAGTGCCATGGTGTGAGCTGAAGAGAAACATTTCTGAACACGCGGCCCGAGCCGAAAGACCACACACTTGTGCGACTACGAGTGGCAGGGAAAAGTTTCGCGCGAGGGGTGGGGGGGGGAGCAAAGATTTGTTCGTGAAACAAAAAACGCTTCGCGGAAACAGAATGAACAAGACGCACGCCGTGCACCTTGTGCCAGGCCGTGAACAGAACAATTCATTTCTGGTCGGTGTTTCGATACAACAGCTCAGAAAACACACCAGCAAAAGCAAAAAAACAAAAACAAGGCAAAGATCCACCCGTATAGCTCATACCAGACTGTTGAGGCAAGTGCTGTTCGCGAGCACCTATAAAGGCCGGGACGGCACACGAGGGGTAAGGTGGCCAAGCACCACGCCCGGCTGCCTTTGTCTCCCCAGTGGCGATGTTTACACACCGCACCGGGTACTCACTTGAAGCAGAGTCGACCTAGGGCAGACCCCACGACCAGTTCAGATAATCGTCACCGGCGTTGGCCGTTAGCGGGAATTGAACTCGGGTCGCCGGGTTGGTAGCGCAGCGCTCTAACCGCGACACTGCCGCTCCCTAAGCAACAGCTTACACACACGCACAAGGTCATCAACACCGCCAGCAGACACCGTGACCTAAACACATCAACCGCGTTTACAATTCGCTGCAGCCGACACGCTACCGGCTGCGTGTGCGAGCTGTCCGCGAGCTTGTGCGTAAACTCTCCCGAAGATTTTGATTTATGCACTGGCCGCGTGAGTTTACACCAAAGTAAACACGCGGTTCATGTTCGACACCGTTTACCATACTTGGGGTTGAGCGCGGCAAGGGGACATCAGAACAACAATTCTACGAGGACTTCAACTATTTAAAAACATTTTTTTTATTTTACCAGTGAAAGGCCCCACTCAGCTACTTACCTCTTTTGAAGCCCCATTGATAGTTTGCGACCTGGCTATCACAAACGATTGCTCAACGAAGTGGCTTATCATCACGCGCGAATGTACAGCGGAAAAATACTTAAAACGCGATGTTTATTCTAAATGTGGAGGGGAAAACCCGCAGGGCCTAGAGAAAAATCCACGCGACCACCACGGGGAGAGAGGCCACACAAACTCCAAATACACAGCAGGCGTCAAGGGTCGGGATCGAACCCGCACGACCTCCTGCATACCAGGCGAGGTGGTTAACATCTCGCCACCACGGTAGGGCTACGCCGCTGACAGTTTCAGGTGCGATATTCTGACCAAATCCTCCTCCTCCTCCTCGGCCTCCTCCTAGATAACGGTCACGCACAGCGTGCCGGAGGGTGACGGCGCACGCGAATGCTACATTAGTCAACATCCCGCCGAACGAACGAACGGCTTATTAGTGGGGGGGATGCAAAGAGGAAGCGCACGCGTCCGGGGCTTTTAGAAGTCCCCGACGCGAGACGCTCCACTCGTCCCGCGGTCCAGGCGGCGCGTCGCATTCTGCGAGCGGCGGTGCCGGGTGGGGTGGGTGGTGGGGGGGTGGTGGGGGGAGTCGTGCTCAGCGATGATTTGGTAGCTGCCGATTTACCGGCGGTCAGGCGTCGTCTCCCTGTCGCTCTTCTTTTTTTTTAAACGCTCTTATTTAACTCACTCTTGTCTGTTGTTGTTGTATCCTCAAATCTTGTAACTCAACTTTTAACCCACTTCCCAATGTGGTATCGACTGCAAACTTGGTATACTTATGTCATACTGATGACAATACTATATTCTATCATTAAAAAAATAGATTTTTAAACGCCCCACGCTTTTATTTTTAGTCCGTTACAACAACAGTATATTAAACATAAATAAAGCAAAGTACTTGAACAGAAAAAATATATTTGTAACTTTTAAGTACATTTCATAAAAGCGCGATAAAAAATGTTTTTTTGTTAAAATATATTATTATTATTATTCACTCGTCGCTTCCTCCTGTGGTGCCGCAGCCGCGAGGCCGTCCGGCCGACTCCGTGGCCGCGACGCCGCCACCTCCGAGCGACGGGGCCGACGCTGCTCTCCCCTCACCACCCCCCACATGAACACACACACACACACATAGAGCCCCCACATGAACACACACACACCCCCACATAGAGCCCCCACATGAACACACACACCCCCACATAGAGCCCCCACATGAACACACACACACACCCACATAGAGTCCCCACATGAACACACACACCCCCACATAGAGCCCCCACATGAACACACACCCACATAGAGCCCCCACATGAACACACACACACCCCCACATAGAGCCCCACATGAACACACACACACACCCCCACAAAGGGCCCCTAGGGGAGGTCACCTGACCGACA